AGTTTTTGTATAAAAAATCCATTAATCAAAATTTAACTTGTAAACCAAAACCTAATTAAGTATGCAATCAATTGAAATATGGAAAAATTATTTTCCAAAGATCAAATGTTAGTAAGATTTCGAATATTAAGCTATTATGTTTTTAAACTATTTTGTGTGTGTTTATTATGTGGTATATATAATTAATTAAACAAAAAAGTCCGCCGCAAATAAGAAAGGCCTCAAATTTAAGCTGAGAAAAAAATATAGTTTATGAAAATTTGGCAATACATAATTAATCATCTAATTGATTTTATTAGTAATAAACTAAAAGTATTGTGTAATAAGATACCTCATCTTTTTAGTATTTTACATAAAATATATAAAATTAAAAAAGTCATTTAATCGTGTTTTATGAAGTTAGCAATTAGCCAAATGACCATTGCCTTCGCTGTTGGATTTTAAAATCTCGAGTTTTATGAGATTAACAATTGGCCAAGTGGTGGTGCAACAATGTTAAGTGAAAGAGTAATGTTATATAGATTTAATTTAGAGATTTAATGAGTGGCCTATTTCAATGCAATTATTGGATAATTAGTTTTTAGTTTCAATGATAAATGAAACATACTTTCAATCTAATGGTTATCTTAAATTAAGTCTCCGTACACAAATTAAATTCAAATAACATTTTCTAAAATTGAATGAATCCACTGCCCATTAAAGTTATTGTAGAAGTTAGGCACCAATGGAACGGGCTCCCATCCATTTTTTTGTGCACATTAAATAATATAAATTGCACTGAAATCTTTTTTCCTCTTTTATTTTGAAAAATGCTATTTAAACTTAAAATATTACTTTAATTTATTTATTTGATCCATCCATATGTCTACAACATCAATGAATAAAATCATACAAGAATTCTTTGGGAGTAGGCCATGAGGGATAAATACCTTAATTTCGGTATGGATAGACTGTCTTTAATTGACTCAGTAAAATAATTAATTGATGCACGCAAAAATTGATTCGAAATTTTTTTACTGTTGAACCAAAAAAAATTTATACAATGAAGGATCCACTAAGTCCCAATAAAAAAAATGGGAAAATTTCATCCACACTCTTTGTAATTAGGCCTAAATTTAATGACACCCCCTCTTGATTCTAAAACTTCACTGTCACCCCCTGTCAATGTTTATCGGATTACGACGTTTGTTAATTTACAAAAATTCTCCTGAATATTTTATAAGATAAATTTTATCCACACCCCGTTGTAAATAAACATAATTTCAACAACACCTCTTATAAATAAACATAACTTCAACGACACCTCTTGTAAATAGACTTTTCTTTAACAATAATACTCCCTCCTAATTCTGAAAATTTCAATGCACTCTCTTTTATTTCTATTATATTAATCTTTACATTCATCAATTTAATATTTAATTTTATCAAATTAATGTCATTTATTTAATTTAAAATAAATTAACATTCTATCTCATCAAATCAACACAAATTGATATTTAATTTTATCAAATTAGCATTTAGTTATATTAATTGAATATTTTATTTCATCTAATTAATATTATTTATTTAATTTAACATTAAATTATTATTTAATTATATCAAACCAGCAACAAATTGACATTTAACTTTATTAAATTAAAATTTAACATATTAAATAGAATATTAAATTCTATTAATTAAACATTTTACCTTATGAAATTAATGTCAGTTATTTAATTTAACACCAAAAGAACATTCAATTTCATTAAAACAATATTTAAATTTATTCAATTAACATTAAATTTTATCAAATCAACATTGAATTAATATTTAATTTTATAAAATTGAAACCAAATTAATATTTAAATTTATGATATTAAGACAAAATTTATTTAATTAATATTAAATTTTATCAACTAATATTTAAATTTTATATATGAAGGGGGATGTACAGAGAGTGGTCAGGTAACGTTGTTGTGAAGGACAAACGATAATAGAGATGTTAGAAATAGATGAAATTTTGACATTGACTTTGTCGATTATAATTTTATTATAGAAAAATTATTTTTAACTATAAAATAAATTTAAACCCTGTAATTAATAACGAACAACAAAAGACATACCACAGAGGGAACTTAGGTAATATAAGAAAATAAGAAATCGAAAAGTGTACCTCTTACCCAACAACTTATAAGAAAATAGAGTTAATGACTTATAAGTCTAACAGGTGTTTTGGATGAAAAAAATTTTAAAAAATTTGCATGAAAAAATGAAAACTATTTGCATGAAAAAAATTAAAAATATCTTCATGAAAAAAAAAAAAGACTATAAGAAAAATTTTTAGAAAATCTACATGACAAATATTTATAAATCTGCAAGAAAAAAAATATTTTTTTTACGAACTTAGGTAGTGATTGATCACTGTGAGAACAAGTTGAAGAATTATGGTTGACTTCAGTCCCCTATATCTTCCAACAACCCTAGATCATTTTGGACTTTCACTAATAACAAAAAGTGTGGTATATATAGGAAGAAAAGGGTTGAGAGCATTTTAATATATTTACATAAAGAATGGTAGTTTGAACATTTTTAAAAAATTTATAATCAAACCGTTACTTTTTATGCTAGTAGAGTTAAAAGTTATCGTTAAAGGGATGTCTTTGATTTGAAAGAATAAACCAAAAAGGAGTGCAATGAAGTTTTAGAATTGGGAGGGGGTGTTATTGAATTTAGACTTAATTAGAGGGGGTGTCATTGAATTTAGACCTAATTAGAAGGGTGTATATGAATTTGCCCTAAAAAATTTTGGTTATTTTTAAGGTAGATCCATGGAACACATGCAAATACAACAATATTCACTTACCGGATTTGGATTCCCTACATTACTCTTTCCCTTCAATTCCCCTTAATACAGTACTAAATGAATGACATGTGTAAGATACTGAATTTCAATGGATAATAATTTTTCTTTGTGAAAAAATTCCTTAATAATAGTTAACACTACATCAATAATAAAATGAATGGAAAAAAATTTTATCCATTAAAATTTAAAACATTTTACATGTCAATCATCTAGCACCGAGGGAATTAAAGAGGGAATTAAAGGAAAGTGGTAATGGAGGGATGTCAATCCATCATTTACCAACTCCATACACAACACAGTACAAATGGATATAATTGACACATACAAAACCTTTGATAAAAACACACACCAACGACAAAGACAAGTGTAACAGAATATTTAAGGCACAACTCTACGTATGCATCTGACAAACATACACATGCATGTGTCATTTGTGGTCTATGATTGAGATTTTGAGCCGAAAAACAAACAAAAAAATATATAAATTATGCGGATTTGGTGAGCCGCGTGGCTCACTTGGTGTGCATGTGCGTTCTTGCATTAACGATCTTTTTGGATTACCTTTATGCAAACTATTTCAATGTGGATCATCTAATTAAAAATAATTTTATTATGCACATCACAAGTGTATACTAAGTTATCTGTAGTTATCGGATCGGTGAGTCTCATCACTGATTTAATGGTTATAAATAATTTGGTGCACATAATTTTATCCTTTAATCAATTGATCACAATAAATATATTGTATAACTAATAATTATAATTACGTCACGTTGAGTGATGAAATTTGAAAATTATTATTGGGATTTAATATGGGGACTTAATTTGAGATTTAAATTAATTGAACCACTGGATTGAAGTGGACTTCATATAATCTTGAAACTTATAATTAATCTAATTGTTATATTAAATAAGATTTTCAAATTAAGTCTTTATAACATTACTCGTTTATTTGTATCAACTTGGTATAAAATCGAGACTAAAGTAGTGAATGGGTATGCCTTAGTTTTTAAGTGTTCAGGTCATAACCAAATCTGCCAATCAAGCCCATTTATGTGTATGCTTCAATATGAACTGGAATCGGCCAATTAGACTTATTTAATGGCATGGTTCAATAATAACTACATTACACAAAACATGAGTCTGATCATACACAATATGGATATAAATTCAATAAATGTACAACAACATATAAATAAATTAAATGTAAATTAAACAAATTTAAACATAAGGGCATGTTTGCTTTGTGGAGTAGGTTGGATGAGATTGGAGTATCATTTCCAATCCGTTCCACCCCCAAGGTGTAGGAAAGCATTTGTTATTTTTCATTTTTTATCCTTGTCCTTGTTTGTTCACATAGTTTGTAGGTTTGTGGGATTCACAGAAAAGAATAGTATTAATGATGTCTTCGTTTGGTCATTTACAAGAATGCCTTTCATTTATATATGATAAAGGTTTAAGACAGACATTTTAGTCTTTGAGTAAACTTGTACTACTTACAAGATTTTTATATCATCTATACAGTAGTATTAAATAGCATCATTAAATAGCACCACATAGATGAGATATGAGCAAGTATTCACCTTAGGCCCAAGATTCAACTACCTCACTATGGTCTGGCTATAAAAAAAAATAAAATAAACAAAATATTAAGTTGGACCCGGATTATTTCTACCTTATTCAGATCATTATACCAGCCAAAACATTGAAGCAAACATGCCCTAAAAGAACTCAGATGGGATGGGATTTATTACCAACCCAACTCTTACCAATCAGAAATGGCCGTCAATGTCTCTAGTAACTACCTACCTTTCAATTTTCTCTAATAGTTCTATTAGATTCAATCATTTTTTCCAGGAAATTTCTCTGATTTTTCCATGAAACTTCTGTGAAGAGCCCATATTCTTTCTGCTGCTATTTTTTTTTTTGGGAGGGAGAAAGAGACTTGAACCCTTGATCTCAAGAAGACAAAGTTTTCACAAGATAAAAAGTACCATTAAACAAAGACTCGTTGATATTTCTGCTGCTGATATTGGTATTTTTCTATTATTTTGATTTTTTTTTCTTTATCTCAGGCAAGCTTTGAATGAGGAAGGCAAGAACTATAGCAAATGAATCAAATATAGAAGCCATAGCCATACAGTTTTTCTTTGTCAAAATGGCTGTTATGCTTGCCGTTGAATGTGCTAGAAGAAGACGGTTTCATCAGAGCGGTGCTTTTTCTGATTCACCTACTACGTCTGCAGCCCATGCCCCCACAAGGCTGTCATCTTTTTGTTTGTACACAACCAACCGTGAAGTCCATATCAGCTCATTTTCTTCCGTGGTACTGTAACAAACCACATCTCTCTCTCTCTCTACATAGATCTACATATATGTGAATGCGTGTTACTAAAATTTGTTTGAATATTACAAACAGCAAAGAAACACGCTGAACCAGGAATATCTGAATGAGAAACTAGCATAAGTGGCTATAGAAGCCAAAGAAAGGTTAGATGAGAGGCTAAAAGGACAAAAGAAATCAGAAACCAAAAGGTAACTGTGAATTTTTTTTTCCCCTTTGTGTTGCATGCCAACCGCATTTAGTAGAGTTGGTAATGAATCATGTCTTAAATGTTACGTGTACAAGTTGCATAAATTGTTGTATCAAAATTTGCATCTCTCTTCCAAATCATTTATTTATAATCGTATCTTATCATTTAACTATATTCATGTCAATCCATTTTTCAAATGAGTACAATAAATCAAACCCATTTATGATTATAACAGTCAAGAAAAACAATTATCAATTCGTGTTAACAATCTTTCATTAATTTTAGAAACCCTTCCTACCATTTGCCTTCTTGATTTTTTTTTTTTAAATTATGAGAGAATATAAATAATGAACACTGGAGATGATCATCTTATCATCTTATATTTACTACCAGTTCAAAAAAAAAACTAATATTTACTGATTTTCACTTATGATTGAGTTCAGGACTAACAGGCAAGAGAGATTAAAGGGTGGGGAGGGCAGGTCTATGGTATTAGGGGATTTGAAAATAGAGGTGTTTGGAGTGAAAAAGAGAGGATTGAAGAGGTTCAGTTGGGCAAAGTTTGGGCAGAAAAAGAAGGCCTTGGACCAAGAGGAGTGCGCCGTGTGCTTGGAGCAGTTCAACGTGGGCGAGACCCTGGTGCGTTTGCCCTGCTCCCATCTGTTCCATTCAAGATGTTTGGTGCCATGGCTAGAGAACAATGCCCACTGCCCTTGTTGCAGAATGGAGATTTTGGATTTAAAAAGTTGAATGATTTTCTTTGTTTTTCTTCACTTTGTAGATGCCCTACGATCCGAATGTACTTACTTGAAAAAAAGGGTTAATTCACGGGTCTCCCCATCACGTATGGGAGGTTCGTGAGGTGTATAGTTTTTACTCAAGACTACTATATGATTTAAATTTGTGTCGTTCATAACACAGTTGATTAAGTTTTTCCTACACCGGGAACTTGTCTCTTAATGGGTCACTTACAAATAGAGTGAAAGTTGTAATGTTTAAAGAATGAGTAATGCTATATAAACTTAAAAAGTAAATTTAATAATTACAATCATTAAATAGATAGTAAGTCCCAATAAATATTGACACCCACAATGACATTAATAGTTATAATTATCGAGTCTATTTTTTTGATATACTTTTTAAATCCACTTAGCATTGTTATTAACGAATGAAATAGACTACTTTTCTGTTTCTTATTTTCTTTTCGTTTTTTTTTTTTTTGGGGGGGGGGGGGGTTTGAGTTGTATTTCTTTAAGATGTATATTAAGGAAAAGGTTAAAGCTCCATTGAATACTCCAAATTAAAAGGTATGTCAAGACAATTAATGCAATAATTGAAGAAACCAAATTGCAGTGAAACTATTTGGCTTTTGTAATTTTTTATGAAGAAACGTGCTGCTAACTAGGGTTGATAATCGATCTGAGCTTTAAGAACTTGAATCGAGTCTGTCGAGTTCATTTTTTAAATAAGTTGAACTCAAGTAATTTGACTATTTTACATATAAATAACTTGAACTTTTTAGTCTCGTTTTCATAAGCAAGTCTAAAAAATTATTTAAGTCTTGCTCGTTTAGAAAATGAACTAAGCTCAAAACGAGCCGAATTCGAGCTAAGCCCCCGACTAGCTTGACTTGATTATCAACCCTAGAACTATAGCGAAAATAATATTTTTTGACTTTAAAAAGTGAAAAAATATCAAAAAATGCTAAGTTTTATACAAAAAAATGGTAACTAAATCCAAAAAAACCAATGCACCTCAAAAATCAGTAAGCTGGTAAAATGCATAAAAAGTTGATTAATAGTACAATACCAAATTTTTTCGGTCCCCTGTGTATCAATTTCTGGTGCCCACGGTGCAGTTTGTTTTGAATTAATGGACCCTGTTGCTTCTAGTTGGGGGAACAAAGTAAGTTGTAACTTTGATATGAAAAACAATCACATAATATATTGATTTGATTTGAAAGTACAAGGAAGAAGATTTCTCCCCATTTGGAAAAAAAAACTCCAATTTTGACCCTTTCAATTATCCAACAATACTGCTAGGACCCAAAAGTAGGACACCTAAGTGAGTCTAATATTTTCGAAATTGATGATTAAAATTGTGAAAAAAAGAAAACCGAATAAAGGGGATTTCTTCAAGTGATTCAGGAATAATATTCCCACATAAGCTTTGGAGGCAAATCTCACAAACCCTATAGCCAAGAAAAGGTAGACTCACTCCTATAATAGAATTTGTTCCTAATATTTTAACATAATTTTCTAAATTAACCTATTATTTTGATTATATGCACAGCGGATCACCTTCTTTGATAAGATTCACTATTAATCTAATGACACTAATGACTTACATTAGCCAATCAAATTAGATTACTAGGTCTAATAACATCAGTCTTTTTTCTTATCTTGTCCATTAAAATAGCTTAGATTCATCGTTTTACATACAAAATCAAACAAAAGAAATAATAAAACTTTCAAATTAAGAGTATATGAATGTCACATCAAACTTCACAATTCAATGAATCCAATTCTCGAATTCAAATTTGACATCCATGATTATCCATTAAAGGTTTATCTTGTGAAGAACATTCACCAACTTTTGGGTATTATACATTTGTACAATTAAGGGAGGTCTATCCATCACTAATCTCACTTGAACAAGGGAGATGCCATAATTTTCTTCTCTTGCTTTTTTTATTGGGCTCTAAAATGCCATCGCTTTCTCCATTAATATAGATCGCCACCATATTACCCCTTGATTTAATTATAAAATAGTGATAGGTCCAGTAAACTTTGATTGATGGAAGGTGTCTTTTATTGTTTTTTTGGTTCAATGATTAAGGGTGTTCGGATCAGTTTACACACACCTCAACTAATTCCCTCTTCTATTTGGTCAAATGCCGACCATCCACATCAAAACTAGGATATTTGTGATGGATAAATCTCTTAGGGCCTGTTTGGTATGTTTTTTAGAGGGGTTTGGATTGACTTGCTCAAACATTTCAAAACCCAAATATGAGATTCAATATTTAATGTTGTCCATACCCATATTTAATATGCGTAGGAATATATAAATATTATGATAATAAATTTGAATTTAAATGACTATTGTGTCCTTTAACCAATTTAATCTAAACTCATGTTTGTTTACTTACATTTTCTTGTGTCTTTATGGTTTAAATATATGACTAATTTTTTTTTCCTAACTTATGAAAAAAATCATGATTATTGATAAAATATAACTATTATTCATAACCATAATAAAGTGCAATAAAACGTTAACCCAACAAGAAAGTGCAACATTATAACAAGATGTGTGAATAGGGTAATATGGGGTATATAGGATATATGGGGGGGTATAAATATTATTTGGATGTTAAACTCATTAACCCACATATAAAATTCACCCTCTCATGGGTTTCATGAAACCCATGAACTTGGATTTCATGATCGGGCCTAAATCAAGTTGGGTTTCAAATTCTAGGCTAGATGTGTATTTGTCAAACATAGATTTGAGAGGATTTATTCCTCAACCCATGTTCCAAAACCCTCTCAAACTCGTATACCAAACAGACTTTTATGACCTGATCTCATGAGATTGTCAAAATTCGAATTTAAGACGCCAGAATTTACAATTGTTTTTAAGGTAAATCGCTTTCATCATATTTTAGGTGTGCGGGTAAGATGTTCAGTTTGAGCGCTTGGTGTCTTTCATTTCTCCACAAATCCTGGATTACCCGAATAGCTTACCAAACCCGAGACCAGATAATCAAATCAGATGTCACTCACTTTTATTCAATCGGATCCTTATTCAAATACTAAAAAAGAATTATTTTTTCCTGGATCTTGTAGTCAATGTATTATTTATTAAGCTCCCAAATCATGTATAAGCTTTAGCATTTGGAAATTCCAGTCTCACTTTAAGGGCTTGATGGATCGGCTAGTAACCTTTCAATTGTGTTGTACCAATTTTAAGTCATGATTCTCCTTGTCTGTGTTCCTCCTATTTTTTTATTCTGGGATTAATAATGCTTTTTTTTTTTTTTGGGTAACGAAGAACCATCAGGTCAATGGTTTTTTTTTTTATTTTTTTTTGAATTGTAACTAAATATGAGTTTTGGATTCACACAATCACCTGTAAGGCAGAAAATACAATCTTATTTTATGTTTGTGAAATTAAGGATTTACCTGGTCTAGAGTGAAGGAATCCTCGTGACATATAATTGTAATT